TTAAGGAAAATCATGAATCAGGAAAGGGCCCATATCTTCATACTAAAGAGTAACTGCCCTTCACTATCCAGAAGACTCTTTCAGAACCTTTAGAAAGCCTACAGCTTCCCAAGATGTAATGTGTGCACTTCTCAGAACCATGTTAAATAGTTCACTTAAGAGTGTAGTATAGTTGACATGGAGTGACATGTACTGCTTAAAGACATTGTTACAGTGTCTTTTTTTTCTTTTTTCTTTATTTCATCTTTGTACTTGCTTGTTTCTTTTGGACAGTTTTAAACGCATTTTCCCCTTTAAGAAGATTAAGCTGTTTATAGGGGAAAATCCTCATACTTTTTATAAGATGCTTATTCTCGTAACACAGATTAACTGCACAGCACACAAAGAGAATACTGGAAAACCCTTGTATGATTAAATATGCCCCTAGAGTATTAAGTTTTTCCACTTATTTTTCAGCCAGTGCTATTAATAATGTTTTCAGCATTAAACTTTCTGTACATCCTGACTAGGGGGAAGGCCTTTCCTTCATTCTGACCTTTCTGTTAGTTTTTCCATTGTCGAATTTGTAGGATCACAGGCTGGTGGAGTGGCTAGCAAGCAAGAGTTCAAAGCCCAGTCCCCCCCCCAAAAAAAAAATTATAGGATTACAAAATTATCTGTGAAAATATGGATTTAAAATCTGCAAGTTAACTAAGGTCCAACAAAGCATCATGTCTATAATTATTCCTATTTTTGTTAAGATTTTTCTAGTTTTCAAACTCATTTCTTCTTTTATTCTTATTGGAATCCTGGTATAAAGTAGCTGTTTGCAAGCTTAGTGGTTCAGTCCAAATATATGTGATTAAATAGACAATATTTATTTTCTTGAAAAAGATAATTTAATTTTTCTTCTTCCTAAGATACCATTCTGGTTTGTAGGAATTCTCATCTTCACTGAGGGAGTCTGTTCTGTGTTAGATGCTTTCTTTTCTTTTCTTTTTATACCCAGGCACTGGGCTGTGGAGGTAATTTCCTGTGCATGCCACATCAGCCTCCTGCTTTGCCTGTGCTGGGCTCCTCCAACATTCCCAGTCTCCCAGCTGATCCTGCCAGCCCGTTCTCAGTCCCTCATCGGTGCTCTCCAGCCACTCACTTGCTCTGCCCTTGTCTCTGTGACTGTGATCTGGCCAGTCCCCAGGCTTATTCACCTTTCTTCCCAAGCTTTCCTCTGCCCTATTCCCTCCCCGCACTCCTCAGACTCCATGGGCTATCCCATCCCCTTCAGCAGCACATGAGCTTGTTAGTCTTGCTCTTCTGACTCCAGAGCTCTTCCACCCTGACCCCATCTGCTGACCTCTCTAGCCACTTTGCCCGTCCTTACCTCTACACCGCCTGTCCCTCAGGAGGTGGCTCTCCTTTCTCTTCATCAGTGGTTTAGGGGACTTCGTCGTTGTTCTCTTCTTCTTTTTCCTTCGTCTTCTTTCTCCTTCCTCCTCCTTTCTTCTTTTCTTTTTTTTAGTGGTACTGGGAAGGCACTCTACCACTTGAGCTCTTTCTCGTGTTGGGTATTTTTGAGATAGGGTCTCGTGAACTATTTGCCCAGCCTGGCTTCAAACCACCGTCCTCCTGATCTCTGCCTCCCAAATAGCTAGGATTACAGGCGTGAGCCAGTGGCACCTGGCTCATTATCTTTTGTTTGTTTGTTTGTTTTAAGAGAGGGAGGTGCACATGTCCAGACAGGCCTCAAGGTGCTGGGCTCAAGGGTGTTCTGCCTCAGTCTCCTGAGAAGCTGGGACCACAGTTGGGCCACTGCATCCAAGGGTTCTTCTGAGCCCTTTTTTCAGCACTGAAAGAACCCCACGAAATAAGATTTTAATGTTATTGAAATAAATAATACATGGTTTGAAAAATCCCAGTAGTGTGGTTTTGGTACCCTTTATTATCTAAAGTGCTTGGGATTCATACTTTTGGACTTTTTCAGATTTTGAGATATTTGTATATACATAGTGAGCTATCTCAGGGCTGAGACCTGAGTCTAAACACAGAAGTCATTTGTGTTTCATCTACACACAGCCTGAAGGTAATTTTATATGATAGTTTTAGGGTACCTGCATTTTGACTGAGACCTGCCATGTGAGATCAGATGTAGAATGTTGCATGTGTGACATCATGTCAGTGCTCAGAAAGTTTTGGATTTTAGAGAACTGCAAATTTCAGATATAAGAAATAATTACCTTCCCAATGTAATTGTGTTGATTTACTCTTAATGGGTATCAAAATCAGCTTCACTCTTCAATAAGAGTTGAATTTAGAACTCTAGAGAGCTAAAAAAAATGTAGAAAGTAATCATTTTATATTCCCTAATCTATATAAATTTAAAAGTGACATATTTTTGTAGGTGAATATGAGTACCCCTTAGAAATAAATTTGTTCCTGTCACGTAAAATAGCTTATCAGTGTTCCATTTAAGGAAAGAGGTTCTGCTGACTTTATAGCAAAAATCTTATTTTTATCCCTTTTATTTGGATGAGAGATTTGAAAATTGAATTATGTAAATATTTTAATGCATCTGCTGTTATCTTGTGGAGTTTATTAAACTACTTTAAAAGATAAAAAAAAAAAGAACTGCAAATTTCAGACTTTGAGATTAGGGATGTTCAACCTGTAGAATACAAGCTTGATTTCAGTGTGTGTGTGTGTGTGTGTGTGTGTGTGTGTGTGTGTGTGTGTTCGTTCCAGACATAAACAAGGGTGTGCATGTGTTCATTTCCCGCTTTTCCTCTCCCTTCCCTCCATCTTCTTTTTTAAACACAGATACTAGATACACAGTGTGGATATTGTGGATATTTTCTCTTTATATGTTATGTCTTAGAAATCGATTTACATTTTTACTTCAAGAGCTGCCCCATTCTTGTAATGAGCTGCATGATACATCATTGATTGCAAGTACATCATAACTTATCCCTCAGTCCCCTATTAAAGGACAGTGATTTCCAGTCCTTTGTTGCTGCAGACAGTGCTTCCGTGAGCATTCTTCCATCTGTCTCAGTGCCCAGGCACAACTATATCTGTAGGAGAAGTTTTGGCATGGAATTGCTGGATTCAAAGAATTAAGCATTTTTATTTTCCAAAGGAAGATATTAAAACTTTTTCCTTTCTGTATTATTGCTTCTCAGTTCTGTCTGCCCATGTTTCATTGATTTCTTGAATTTGTCTTCAATGTCTGCTATCTTTTTAAAAAATTCATTCCGACTTCTTGTGCAATTCACAGTTCCTGTTATCATTGACTACCTAACTGTGACCATCACTTTCTTTTTTGGTTCCGAGAACATATTTTAAAAAACTACACAAGTCTTAATGGTTAATCTTGAATTTTCAAAATGTGGCCAACACCCAGATTTTCTTTTTTTTTGCAGAACTGGGGTTTGAACTCATGGCCTCACGCTGACTAGGCAGGCACTCTTGCCACTTGAGCCACTCTGCCAGTCTTGCGGGTTCTTTTTTTTTTTTAAAGCAAACATTAACATCCTGAACCACCCTACAGTTCTCTTCTAGTTAAGTGTCCTCCCCATAGGTAACTACTGCTTTCAGTGCTAACGCCATACATTGATTTCACCTGGCTCTTTTTTAAACTCCATTAAAGGTAGTTATACTGCATGTGCCAGTTCTCCTTTGAGTAACATTATGTCGATGAATGTGCTTAGAGTCTGTTCTCATGCCTAAATAGTACTGCACTGCGTGACGGCAGCAGAGTTCATGTGTACATTCTACTGTTGATGGATACTTAGGTGGCTTCTAGTGTTTGGCCATTGTGAATATGGCTGCCTCAAACACTTGTGTTTGTGGCTTCTGATACACATATGTACACATTTTGGGGAGATGTATACTATCTGGCGGTGGAACTGCTAAATTATATGGCACATGGATATTAAACTTCTAAAGTGATTGTCTCATTGTGCACTTCCAAAATAGTTCCACGTCCTGGACGGCACTGGGTATTTTCTGGCTTTTTAATTTTAACCTTTTTGGTAGGTACCATGTATTTAAATTTGATTTTAGTTTTCATTTCTGTGACCACTTATGATGTTGAACACATTTTCATATGTTTATTGACCTTTTGGATATCCTCATTTGTGGTGTGCCTGCTTAAGTTTATTTTTGTGTTAAAACTTTTTTCAAAAGATAGTTTTGGCCAGCCATTCACAGTGGCTCAACTTGTAGTCTTAACTACTTGGGAGGTTGAGGTCAGGAGGATCATGGTTCAAGACCAGACTGAGCAAAAATAAATAAATAAATAGCATTGTGGCATGCACCTGTCATCCTAGCCATACTGGAGATTGAGATCAGGAAGATCATGGTTCTAGGCCAGCCCAGGCAAAAAAGTTCACGAGACCCCCATCCCAACAGAAAAAACTGACTATGGTGGCATGTTCCTCTCATCCCAGCTACACTGGGAAGTATAATTAAGAGGTGGTCATCCAGGCTGACCTGGGCATAAAAGCAAGACACTCCAAAAATAACAAGAGCAAAAAAGGCTTGAAGCGTGGCTCAAGTGGTAGAGTACCTGCCTAACAAGTGTGAAGCCTTGAGTTCAACCCCCTGTTCCCTCCCCGCCAAAAGAAACCCTTTTGTCTAGTGGGCATGTCACATTTGTTAAAGATTACTTTGTGCTTTCCTTTCCCTTGATCCTCTTTTTTTTTTTCTTGATTCTTCTTTTATCTGCTACTTCTTTTATAACAAATGAAATTTAGAACCAGTAACCTGAATACTTCTAGAATTTTCAGTTAATTTGCATGAAACTTTATTTGGGAACTGGAATATAATGGTGTTGATCTAAGAAGGAGAAAGATAATAAATACGAATGAAGCCCTCCCAGATTTTCACCCACCAGATTGCATTATTACCCCTATATTTTATTCCCATTTTGTTTCATTTGTGACAAGCACTTGTTCAGTATGAAAGTCTTTTAATGTGCATTTGAAATCTACAGCCCCCTTTCTAAAAATACAAATGTTTTACAGGTCCTTGATCAATATGAACGAGAAGGATTTAATTTCCTAGCGAAGGTCTTTAATTCTTCACATTCCTTCTTAGAAGACTTGACGGGTCTTACACTGCTACATCAAGAAACTCAGGCTGCTGAGGTAAGAACACACCAAACTTTCTGTACTGGCTACTGATGTTTGAAACCTGTTTGATATCTGTCTTTATGAAAAAGGAAGAAAGCAATTAATTTGACTTTTTTTTCTGGTAACTGATATCACTAAATAACTCTGCTAGTCATCAGAGAGGACAGGTCCTTCAGCAATTGCTCAGCTCTCATACGTGTAGGGCGCTGTTCAGTAGGTGCCCAGTGCACAAAATGATAAACAGAGTACGGGTTATTGCTGTCCACGCTCTCGTACTCACTGATGACCTTTAGAAGTATGCCACTGAGTTGTCTTTAGTGTCCATGTATCAAAACACAAGTCAGTGAAGACACTGGGCTCCAGCCGTGGTCCTCAGAACGTGGCTGGCTGAGTCTCGCAGTTCGACTCACATTCTTGGGCCCTGCAGTGGCTCCCCGTCACAACCTGTGGGAGTCGCGCTGTGTCTGTCAGACAGAGGGCTTTGCAGGCCTTCATTTCCTGGGTACTTATATCAGTTTTTCCAATAACTAAATTTTTAAAGTAGCTTATTTTGGCTTTCCATATGCTCACTGTTCTTCAGAAGGGGATGCTGTGTGTGGTGGTAGAGCTATTTGGGTCACTTGGCAAAATGCACAATTCCTCAAAATTGGTAACTAAGTCAGTCAGATCAGCATCTTTTTGCCTTCGTCACCAGGGTGATGGAGCTGTTAGGAGAAATTTGGCCCACAGGGATCCTTCTACAAGCTACATAAGGAAAACCTTGCCTTTGCCTTTCTGTGCCCTGTAAGAGTGGTCCAAGAGCAGAGGTGCCTTTAGTCCTCTTCACTGAAAGGCTTCTCCATTGGTCATGTGATGGTGAAAGGATAGCCAGGCACAGTACCGTGCCAGCCAGTGAAGCTGGCACTCTGCGTGGAGAAATCATCTGGAGACACTAGAGTGGAACTCTGGGGTTTTGAGCAGGTGAGAGTGGGTTTCCAGACCCATCAGGGAAACAAGATAGTTCATATCCAGTGCTGGACTTAGGACTAAAGCCAGTTCTTCTGTGATGTGATCAGTGTCCTCTGAGCACTAAGCAGATACATCTTCCACTGGCGGCTAGTAGTCAGACCATAGGGAGTCTCCACTCTTCAGTTTCAGGTGAATGGTGCCAGTGGAGAACTTTGAGGCTTTCCCCCCAAGACAGTGACTAGCTTCCCAGATGGGCTTCAGGACATTGTGAGGATGGTGGCTGATGCAGTACTACCTGACGGTGTGGGAGAAGCAACTTGCAGATCTCTGCACTATGTAATTGTTTGATGAGCCAGCTCAGGGAGTTTTGCTGCTCAGCTAGAAACAATTCACGTATTTTTCTTTAATCAGCTTAGAAGAATTGCAACTTGAAATAGATAAGTATTTCACTGTTTAAAACAGCAGTTATGAGGATAATGGACTGATTGATTTTTTGATTAAGCCTGGTGTAGTTTGCATTTTGGTTGATCACTTGTTCCCATCCTTTTTGAGGATTCAGAAGAGAAGAAGTTTGGGAAAGCAATGGTGACTAGGGTATGGCAGGAGAGGAAGGATTTTATCCACAAGCTTGGGTTTTCTTTTGAATTTTCCTTCATTAAGTTATTGCTTCAGAATCATAAGCCACATATCAAATTTTAGATTAGATGGTAAACTGGTTGGCCTATGGCTTGCAGTTGTGGTGTTTTTTCATCTGGCCTATGTGTTAGTTTTTCAGGGGATGGGAGAGGTACTGGGTTTGAGCTCAGGGCTTTGAGCTTACTAGGCAGGTGCTCTGCCACTTGAGCCACACTCCCAGCTCTTTTTGCTTTTAGTTATTTTTCAGATAGAGTCTCAAATTTTTGTACTGGGCCAACCTAAGACCCTGATCCTCTTACCTAGGATTTCCTATGTAGCTGTGATCACAGGTGTGCATCACCACACCTAGTTTGTTGGTTGAGAGGGAATTTCACTAACTTTTTGCCCATGCTGGCCTCAAACTGTGATCCTCCAATCTCCTCCTCCCAAGTAGTTTGGATTAAAGGCATGAGTGTCAAATTTTGAAGAAAGCCATTATTTAAAAATCATGAGTTTTATATTCAAGTATGAATTTTCCAATTTCCAACTTTAAAAAATCAGATCTGGCAAGTCATTACATTCCTTAATAATAATATTTAGCTGAAACTGAGAAGAAAGTTTTATAGATAAATAATGCAGTTGACAGAAAATTTTAAGACATGGAAAGTCTACGATGGGCTGGGGGTGTAGCTCATGGCAGAGTGCTTACCTAGCATGTGTGAGAAATTGGGTCCTCACTAAAAGGGGGTGGGGAGAAGAAGACAAAAGTCTCATGTGAAAACAAACTCTTCCTTCTGTGCCTGTGTCCTAGCCCCCAGTGTCCTCCTGGAGACAGACATGGTTATTTCTTGCTCAGAGATAAATTTTTTTGGTAGGGGAAAGGGTATATTCTTCATTTACTCAATGCTCTGCAGGTAATAACCCTTAGTTACTTGGGTTGTAACCCTTGTCTTAGAAAAGATCATTGTTTTCCTTGAAAAGGTCTAAACTGGACTGTTTTAAGTGAAAGTCCAAAATACATTACTCTGCAGAGGCCCTCGTAACAAAATTTACTGTCCTGCCTATATCATTTTACATTACTGTGAAAAATGTGTGTGTGTGCTTATAAGCAGAATAAATAGGTATATCCAAAAATATACATATATCTGTATAAGAGTAGTGTTTTGATATAAATACTTGATTCCCAGTGCATTTATAGATGTTAATAATAAAAATACAAAATTTTGTATTCTGTATGCAATCCAGTAGGATAATGGATTCATTCGCATTTGGAGTTAACTGTTTTCATCAATCAACATTAGAATTGCAAAAGAGTTAGCTTGATAGTTACATGTGACATCATTCTATATATTGTTTAATATATACATACATATTTCATTACTGGGGATTGACCCAGGGCCTTGTGCATTGTAGGCAAATGCTCTACTGTGAGCTACATCCCCAGCCCTTTTAATTTGTTCATTAGTTTTTTGGGGTTTTTTTCTAATTTTGAGACAGAATATCACTAATTTGCCCAGTTTGCCCTGAACTTTTGATCCTCCAGCCTCAATCTCTCAAGTAGCTTGGATTACATATGTGCACCATCTCACCAGCAATATATATTTTTTTCAATTTTCTTTTGTGGTGCTGGAGCTCAAACCCAGGACCTCACGTGTGCTAGGTCAGTGCTCTAAATATTTTTTTTTCTTATTACTGAACATCTTTTTTGCAAATGTGATACCAGTACTGTGCTAGTAACTGAATCAGAAATTAATGAGACAGGGAACCTCACAGGCTCATGGGCCAGAAGTAGGGATGTAAATGATGTGCTCTGGTATCAAGAAAAAATGTTTCAGTCAACTTATACATTAAGTACCAAGAGAGCAGATGCTTCTTTCCCCAAGTAGGTAGATAGGGATGTCAAGGAAAGACTCTTGGGAAGAGAACAGATATTTCCGTGAGTTTTAATAATGAAAGCTGGATTTGTGCGGGGGAATGTTGGAGAAGGGAGGACCAGAGGTGGGGCCTTCTTGGCTAATTCAGGGTCTTTGAGGCCTAGGCATTAATTAGTGTGCTACTAGAATTATGAGCAGTCTGATGTGATTGGAGCCAGTTACCTGAAGTCAAGATGTTTTTCACAGAACAGCTTTGTCAGGCTATAATTCACATGCTACAAAATTCATCCTTTTTAAACTATGTAATTCTGTGGTTTTTAGTATACTCACAGTTACACTGTCATTATCACTTTGTACTTTCAGAACATTTTCATCACTCCCAAAACAAACTTCATATCCATTAAGTAGTCACTCCCCATTTCCCTTCTCCTTCCAGTTCCAGGCATGCACTCAATCACTTTCTGACTGAGTTGACCTGTTCCCAACACGTCACATAAATGAGGTAATGTAATATGTGACATTTTGTGTCTGGCATTTTTCACTTAACTTGTTTTCAAGGCTCATCTATGTTATATATCAAGGTAATTATTTTTAACTTAAAAGTTTTGATTTTGTGACAGTTTCCCGTATCCTTCAGCACCTGTGATCTGTCTTCCTGAAATGTAGCTCCTTGGTGAAGGATGAGTGCAAAGCTGTTCCTACTATGTTCATGAAAGTACCTTTATTTTCATGGAAAAGGCATAATAATGGTTCAGAAGATATATCCAAGGCAGGACCATCCAGATTTAGTGAGATTGACTAATGCAACTCAAGTTTTTGCATCCACCCACCCACCTACACCCATCCCTCTTCCAGCATCATGTGTCCAAAAGTGATAGGAATGATTTTGATCCAGGTTATTAGAGTAGTCACACTGCTGTTGAGATTAACAAGCAATTTACAAGGGAGTTCTATGGGAGGAGGGATTGAAGTGTACAGTTCAGATAGTCTCTGGGGTCAGGCTTGCAAAGAAGCATTTCGTTTGTTTTTAGGTGATTTTGGGGTAATGAGGTGAGTGAATGAAGGTGACTAGATGACATTGGAGATGGAGCTTGGAGAGACAGAAACAGGACTGGTAAATTGATGTGGCTGGATAAAGGAAAATTACCCTTTCCCATTTAGCACAATGAGAGGTTGTAGAGCTAGAAGGTAAACTTTTTTAAGGAGAAATACATGTGGTAGATTAGTTTCATCTCACATTACAGGTTAAAAAGTTTAAAATTCTCACCACAGAAGTACTATTTGTCTTTGCTCATGTTGTGTGTCATAGAGAATGGGCCTTGGACAAATACTTGTCCAAGGTACCTATAGCCCACCTGATTGCCAAGTGATAGTTACGTTCTGCGTGGGGCATTAGACGGCTCCATGGAGTAAGGGCCTCTCTCAGTTTCCCACCCTCTTAAAATGTCGCCATGTACATTGGGGGATTTTTGGCCTTTACCTTCAAGGGCTTGCTTACTGAGTATGGGTTTGGATATTAGGAGATTGGCTCTGACTCCCTGTTCTTTCTAGGTGCTTCTTTATTGTCTTCAGAACCTA